TCGGTCTATTACGCATGCTTTAGTGTGACATTCATCTCGAAGCAAAAGTCGGCTTGAAGATCGTGAATTGGTCGTTTAATTCATGACTTGCTCAGAGCCGAACTTTTCTTCGAAGTGTGTCTTCAGCATGTAATCTCTAATAATTGCTTCTTCTCTCCGCGCAACTTCAGCACTGGAATGGATCCGCTCCTACCAACGCCAAGTCTCCTCCGAGCAAACGCGTCTGCAACGAGCCGCGACAGTCGGTCATCGACAAATCCGAGCCGGCAGTCGCGGTGCCAATGCCTCGTTCGATGCCCCAGAGTCGGCCGAGTCATATCACCCGAGCAAAGTCCTCCCTCGAGCCGAGTCGCGTCAGACCGGCCAGTCGTCCGGTCCACCAAACGGCTCGATTCCGCATTGACTGGCCCAAGGCCGTGGCAGAACTGCGGCCCGCCGACGGCTGGCACTGTCGTCTGGCCGGCGACCTCGAGACGACGTCGTGTCGAGGCGGCGCTCGGAGACGAGGCCTCGTCTCGCAACGCTCCGAGGCGTCTGGCGGATCCATCAGCGGCGGCGTCTTCAGTCTTTGGCGTCGGCACAAACAGCCGCAGGCCGCGGAGCCTCGAGTCCCGGACACCTCTGGCTCGTCTGCACACGGGAACCCCGACCCATCCGACCCGCCCGGCCCCGGCCCGGCCCCGGGGAAGCTGCACTTCACGCAATTGACTATGTCCAGCTCCTCTTCCCTCCTCAGGCGTCTGCGATAGAAGCTGGTCTCATGCTTGACCATGACACTTGTACATACCTGCGAAGCACCCGCACCCGGAACCCCCCAAAACGGCTGTGAACTGGCTCATTGTACATGACTCCCCCCTATTTATCCCTCACTAACTTTGCTTGTCTTCCCTTTTACTTTGTGTCATTTAGCCTGCCTATTTTGTTATCTCTTGACTAAAACCTCAAACATGATGTCCATGTGCTTCTTATTTTACCGACTGTCATCGAAATGTTGGCTGGATTTGCACAAGGTACCAGATTTCGAGGAGAGCCCTGCGCCCCCAGATTAACTTTGTAGGTGTAGGCGACAAAGTCCCGCATGTTGAGTCTGTTTATGGGGGAGGGGGAAAGGGTCGACAGAAAGTCGCGATGATGTTGAAGCCACGAGTGTTTGGCAGTTGACCTCAACCCACAAGTTTCAAGTCGTGTTGAAGTTTCTTTTGCGTCCTGACCGAGTGTTTTTCTCTTTCTTTGAGCTCCATCGGGGGTGACGGATGTCCATGCGCAGGCCAAATCCCTGCATAACTAAGTTTGACGGCTGGGTGTTTTGGTACCTTTGCCCCTGGGACACGAGGGCTCACTCACTAATTTGAGTTGCCATGGTCCGGATACGATTGGACGACGGCATTCTGGCAACGTTTGTGTTGGATTACGCAATCGGGCGTATGGTTTTTCCCCCTTGCCCGCCGGGGGCAGTGAGATGAGCCTGGGTCCGTCCCATACGTGCAGCCGGTCGCATGTGCTCTCGTCTGTTCGAGGGCGTCTGGTACGACCAATTTTCGACTGACAATTGCTGGTAAAATCGGGCGTTTACAGCCACGCGAGGTCTAAACCGGCCGGTCAAGTGGATTTAACCTCTTTTCGGATGAAAGAACACACCGCAATTGTCAGCTCGACAAACGCTCGGTCTGGCCGCGGCATAAAGCAAAACCATACGCGTGTCCTTGCAGCAAGAGTAAAGATGGTCAAGACAAAGGCCAGCAATTAAGTCGCCTCAAATCTTTGTCAAGCTAGCACATCAAGATGGGATGGTCAAGACTTTAGTCAAAAGCCTCGATGCCGTCCAACATCCGATCATTTCGAGTTGGTTTGGGCACAAAAAAAGTAGAGCAAATCTATCCTTTAATCATTTTCAAATTACGACTACTTAACAAATCACACCTCGAACCAGCGATAAGGTCATCATTAAACCATCCAAAAGGGGAAGCCATAGTGACTTAATACAATGGATAGGTTTAGTCGAAAGAAAGTATGCACTCTGGCACTAAAATAGTGAACACACTTAAGAAGGATTAAGCGCCCTTTCCGAATATACACCTCGTAGGATGATATGCAATTTTTGCCTCTAGCAAAATCTCGAAAACTACCTATACCTAAAATTACGTTATATCTGATGGAAACAAGTTTTCGGGGGGATTTTTAAGCGATGGTTTTATGTCCAGAACAAAGGAGAACATCATTTGACAAATGAAAAGTGCTGTCTTTTTCAGCATGTCGTTGGCATTTACGTCCTTTTATTGCGGATACCCACTTTTCCCATCCCAATTCATCTTAAATGCTGGTAGACTTTACGGGACGCTGTCAAACGATCCACTGAAATAAAGTGATTACCATCAGACAAGCATCAAATCGGTGTGCTTAAGATTGTAGCTAAGAAAATAATCGAGGTCAAATCGGACGGAAAAGAAGAGAAGTCAAACCTTTATTTGAATATGGTAGTTATTCACGTTTTTTTTTCATTTTTGTTTCATAGTATTTCGAAAGAAGCGACAATCTTGTAGTTATTAGGTAGTAAATGTACTTCTCCATCGCCAATCCGCCCTTTTTGACTAGGAGTGGCAAAAATCAGGCAAAGGTAAATCTTTCTCAATACTTTAATGTGAATGTCCCAAAATTTATTTATCGTTCATAATTATGGCTTCGAGACCACCAGTAAATATGTATGAGATGTATTCATCTTAGTTCGTTTAAATTTGATGAAGGAACGAAAAATAAGTGATGTCGTCGATTGTCATAGCAAATATGACTCCGCTTCATCGACAATCTCATCATTGAATATAATATGGAAATAGCCTAACCTTCTTTAAAATTCGCATCTGCACCGTGACCTAGCGGTACTCGTGGCAGTGTGGTATAGTGGTTAGCGTGTCAAGATCACACGCTGCGCAAGACCTAGGCGAGGTCGAAACTAAAGTCCATTCTGGATAAGAGCACCTTTTGGGAAGGCAAGGCTATGTGAAATGCAATGGAAACTTCGACTCTATTCATATTATTGTGGGAAAGTTCAATTAACATTCATTCATCATTCACCCAAAATTTTGCCGAATTGTTTCTCTCCGTCTATAATAGAACCATTGATAGTTTCAGCCACAAACAGGTATCGAAAGACTAGACTTCGTGGCAGAGCTGTACAATTGATGACGAATAAAATGCTAGATAGACTAGTATCTGAACTGGGTAGGTCGACATGGAATTTGCTTAAATCTACAAAGTCTAATCACTGCTGAATAGATGTAGACACATCGGCCATATTCCGAATATTTTAGCTTTGAGAGCAGGCTCAAATTACCATGATCACCATGTTTTCCTCTACTGATTAGATGTCGCTTTCTCGTCAGATTAATCAGCGCCATCTAAAGCAAACCGGATATTCTAACCAGCAGCTATATTTAACAAATAAAAAATCCTAAATTGTGTTGGTCAATATGTCGTTTTTTCTGAGGAGGCATCTTCTGCTGCTTCTTTTTTTTGTTGACCTGCATCCTTACAGCATCGGACCTTTGAATAAAGGCACTATCAGATGCATCTCCATCATCCAAATCTGTGTGGAAGAGAAAGTGATAGTAATGGCAGAGGACGGTATAGAAGGTACATTCTTATAAAACACAGCCATGATGTGAAAACAAATATAAATGCAAGTTTCATTAATGTGAGTAGCTACTGGCTATAACAGCCGTTATGTTCTGTCATGGTTTATGCATATATCGGGAAAGCCCGATTTGACCACAAGAGAACAATTTGGCTAGCAGAGCGACTGCATTATGCTTGCCATTTTTCGAATTGCTCATGAAAACACGTTTAAGTTGAGGAAACAATGTCAAAATTAATTAGTTTTCATCTTCAAGGCGCTATCCTACCTCGGCATAGTTGGGTCAGACAACGGCAGAATTACCGAATATATGCGAATAAAAGTTGGGTTTCGAGGAATCTCTTGTTTCATAAGTGTTGAGCTTGCTTCCGTTTCGAGTGAGTGTTGGGTGAAGAGATTCGAAAGTCGGTTCCACCAAAAGACGACGGCGGTCACATTGAACAAAAGTGAAGCTCAGGGAACCCTAGGTCTTTCCTAGGATCGTCGATGAAGTAAAAGTTGTATTTGCTATACCTTAACTAACCAAATAACTTTATATTTAATCAAAGAGGCCAGGTGTAGAGTATATATACCACTTTTTAGGGATTTGCCAGTGAGTTTTATTGACTCGTTAGCTTGAATTTTGTTGTGACGATGATACCTTGCTCTGATGGTGTTCGTCATTTGCTGGACGAAATCTTAGCACCTTTTCACTGGAATCGAAAGAGATTACCTCGCAAACAGCGTCAGCATGAATCTTCCAGTAAAGCCAATCGACAGCTGGCCAAGAGGAATCCGCCGTCGACTTCTGGTGGAACCGACGTTCGAATCACTTCACCCAACACTTTCAATCGAAATGGAAGTAAGCTCAACAGAATTACCGAAGCAGATGAAAAAGGCGAATGTGGGATACAATGTTTACCGGTCTCCTTTGTAAGGGAATCTATAACTCACAAACATTATTGCTGTAGCCCACTTTAACCCATGCATTGCAACTCGAGCGAAATCCTTATAGTTGAATCTCCTGATATTTCACCGTTGAATATTGTCCGTTCTTTATCATGCCCCCCTCAGAGCGATAGTCAAAGGTGCCAACTCTAAACTGATACAAAGTATTTGAAACTGCTATTTGGACCACAACACTGATATTATAAAAAAAGTGTACTCACTCTATTTCGTTCAAGATAGTAAAAGTTTGGAAGCTGAATTTTCCCATAATCATATGAGTAGGTCTCATACTTCCATTCAAGTCCATATGGCCTTGCCTCACAAAAGGTATTATCATCCAGGCAGGACTGAACTGTAATCTCGACATCCCATA